AAGTTGCATGGACTCACTCTGTGTGCAATAATAGTGTTTAACATGATTTCTGAATGACTACTCCACATATACAATTATCTGTAAGGTCCCTCAGCCGAGCAGTGAATTTCAAACATGCAAGGAGGTTTTCCAATGCCTCACAAAGAAGGGCACCTATTGGTAGGTGGGTACACATCCCTTTGAGCATGGTGAAGTTATTAATTACACTTTGGATGGTGTATCAATACACCCAGTCACTACAAAGATACAGGTGTCCTTCCTAACTCAGTTGCTGGAGAGGAAGAAAACCGCTCAGGGATTTCACCATGAGGCCAATGGTGGTTCTAAAACAGTTTAATGGCTGTTATAGGATATAACTGAGGATGGAACATCAACATTGTAGTTACTCTACAAAACAAACCTATTTGACAGAGTGAAAAGAAGGAAGCCTGTACATAACATAAACATTCCAAAACATGCATCCTGTTTGCTACAAAAGTAATACTACAAATAAATGTGGGAAAGTAATTTACATTTGCACTCCGGGAGTTTTTCAGGATAAAAAATAAATGGAATTGAGCTAAGCACAGGCAAAATCCTAGAAGAAAACCTGGTTCAGTCTTCTTTCCACCAGACACTGGGAGATTAATTAATCTTTCAGCAGGACAATAACCTAAAACACAAGGCCAAATCTACACTTGAGTTGCTTACCAAGAAGACAGTGAATGTTCCTGAGTGGCCGAGTTACAGTTTTGACTTGAATCTACTTGAAAATGTATGGCGAGACCTGAAAATGGTTGTCTAGCAATGATCAACAACCAATTTGACAGAGCTTGAAGAATTACGAAAATAATAATGTGCAAATGTTGCACAATACAGGTGTGCAAAGCTCTTAGAGACTTACCCAGAAAGACTCACAGCTGTAATCACTGCCAAAGTTATTGACTCAGGGGTGTGAATACATACATTACCAGTCAACAGTTTTAGAACACCTACTCATTCCACGTTTTTTCTTTATTTTTACTATTTTCTACATTGTAGAATAATAGTGAAGACATCAAGACTATGAAATAACATACATGGAATCATGTAGTAACCAAAAAAGTGTTAAACAAATCAAAATATATTTTATATTTTATATTCTTCAAAGTAGCCACCCTTTGCCTTGATGACAGCTTTGCACACTCTTGAAGTAAGTACACAAAAAGCCATGCAATCTCCATAGACAAACATTTGCAGTAGAATGGCCTTACTGAAGAGCTCAGTGACTTTCAACGTGGCACCGTCATAGAATACCACCTTTCCAACAAGTCAGTTTGTCAAGTTTCTGCCCTGCTAGAGCTGCCCTGGTCAACTGTAAGTGCTGTTATTGTGAAGTGGAAATATCTAGGAGCAACAACAGCTCACCCACGAAGTGTTAGGCCACACAAGCTCACAGAACGGGACCACCGAATGCTGAGTACGTAGCGCGTAAAAATCGTCTGTCCTCGGTTGCAACACTCACTACCAAGTTCCAAATTGCCTCTGGAAGCAACGTCAGCACAAGAACTGTTCACCGGGAACTTCAAGAAATTGATTTCCATGGCCGAGCAGCCGCACACAAGCCTAAGATCACCATGCGCAATGCCAAGCGTCGGCTGGAGTGGTGTAAAGCTCGCCGCCATTGGACTCTGGAGCAGTGGAAACGCGCTCTCTGGAGTGATGAATCACGCTTCACCATCTGGTAGTCCAACGGACGAATCTGGGTTTGGCGGATGCCAGGAGAATGCTACCTGCCCCAATGCATATTGCCAACTATAAAGTTTGGTGGAGGAGGAATAATAGTCTGGGGCTGTTTTTCATGGTTCAGACTAGGCCCATTAGGTTCCAATGAAGGGAAATCTTCATGCTACAGCATATAATTACCTTCTACACAATTCTGTGCTTCCAACTTTGTGGCAACAGTTTGGGAAAGGCCCGTTCCTGTTTCAGCATGACAATGCCCCCGTGCACAAAGCAAGGTCCATACAGAAATGGTTTGCCGAGATCGGTGAGGAAGAACTTGACTGGCCTGCACAGAGCCCTGAACTCAACCCCATCGAACACCTTTGGGATGAATTGGAATGCCGACTGCGAGCCAGGCCTAATATCCCAAAATCAGTGCCCGACCTCACTAATGCTCTTGTGGCTGAATGGAATCAAGTCCCCGCAGCAATGTTCTAACATCTAGTGGAAAGCCTTCCCAGAAGAGTGGAGGCTGTTATAGCAGCAAAAGGGGGACCAACTCCATATTAATGCCCATGATTTTGGAATGAGATGTTCGATGAGCAAGTGTCCACATACTTTTGGTCATGTAGTGTATGAATATATGAACATATGAACTATGACTCTGGAAATACATTGTCTTGCAATATTTTGCACCACTTGTCTTTTTTTTTTACCTATCGAGGACTCTGAAATGAAAAAAACTTGAATTAAACCAAATGGATAAATTATCTTTGGTTGTCTATGGAGAGTTTCTGTATACAGACATGTAGAGAATAATATTTATCGGAGAAGCAATACCACAACTGTGTTTTTCTTCCATCTTGTCTCTACCCAATCAGACTACCTACAGCCATCTTTATGAGAGGCATAACTGATCTCATTTTACAGCTTGAATTGAGTGGTTGAATGGCAAAGTAAACATAATACCAAATTATAGTTTTATACGGAGATCACCTGAAATATGTAGATTAGTCTTTCTCAAAACATGGTCAGAAACCCATGTAGTAGTAGTAGGTTTTATTGGTTTCTCGCGTTCATAGACTAAATTGTACACCAATTTGCAATCATAGATTATTATCCTAAAGTAGCACAATCATTTAAATATAACACAATGTTAAAAAATACAATATATACGAAACAATAATACTCCAACGACAATGTTTGGGTCGCAGCAGAAAAGCACAGTGCCTGACAAGTATATAGCAAAGTGTAATGTACAGGCCTAATTTTCCACCTGTACCTTTAGATCTAGCTAGAATCAACGGTGGGTGGGTGGTGAATAGTCTATTTCAGTTGCTATATGCCTATCAGATATGAAAATAATACATTGGTATTATAATGCAATCCTTTTCAATTGTATTATATTCTATCATATTATATTCTGTGAATCTTTGAGCATTTTCCAGCTATCAATAAAGTGCAGAAGATGTCCAAACTGACTCCGTAAAGGCGCATAGCTTTCTGTAAGCATGAACGAGGCCACTGTCCAATATAATCTAGGTTTCGATACAAATGACTATTTAGGCTACTTAGATTTACACTTTATTCCTTTATGAAGACATTTGCTTTACATGCGTGCTCCTTTTATTGATTGCCGCTTTTATCCAAGCATTTTCATAATTTGACCACCCCTCTATAGGTTATCATATTCAGGTTTCATTAGCGATTTATCACTGATCAATTATTAGGAAGAAACTAAACCACAGATGTACTCCCAGCATGTCACTTTTTTCATTTGGTGCTGTTTAGGCCCATACTAAAGGTTATTTACAATACAAGATTACAATAATATAAAGACAACATCCCTGGTAAAGAACAACCCTGTCCAGATCTGTTTGGATAATGCGTTACGCCATTCTGAGATGCACTTTGTAGCCTACTCTGTAACTTAACTTGTTTCGGTTTTTACTGTATGCATTAGGGTCTAAGTGTCATTTCTATTTATACTGTGAAATAATTGTATTTTGTACACACATCCAGATATTCAGCTTGTTTGTGCAGTGACTTTTTTAGGGATGGGAGAGTTTCTCTGAATATTTATTTGTACGGCTGTGGACACGTCGAGGTTATTGGGATAGTAGCCTATTACAGCCAGTCTTAAATCGTTGGATAACAAAAGTAGGCTGTAATGATGAGTATAAAACTAAAAGTTTGCAGTTTTCTGTCAATTTATATAGCTTGTGTCATAACGGGAGGTCCAAGGCAGGTTGAATTAATTTGCATACAGGGAGAGACCATGGCATCTGGGCACAATAAGTACGCAGTGGCAGATAAGATACACATTTTATTACCATGTGTAGACAAAACAAATCTTGATCAGATAGCAATCCACGACGACAACCACATGTTAATGCAAGGTGTAAACCATGGCTTCTGTTATCTGATTGTGCCATGTGACAGTGGGGGCAGAGTAGGAGGCATCTGGTTTGGAATGCTAATTTTGCAACTCTTATACCGACTCTCAAGTGTTGGATCAAGATTGACAGGAACATCTGTAAAATACATCTGCTAATGTCAAGATGTCCTTATTGATTATCATATCATCCTAACTTGGGGCAGAGAGGGAAAAGGGCTAAGGTGTTAATCTTATATAGATACAAACTAACCATAGTCCATAAACGCTTATTTCCTGTTGGAAATAATTGTTGGATCAATGGAAATCAAAGTTTGAGTGTGTGTTAATGATATTGGACATGAGACATATTCAGCTTCATAACAGTTAAATAAAAAAAGCCATAACAAATGTGTACTCCAGTTTCAGTTTATTTATCAGGTTGTAGAGCATAAGAGGATCCATGTTATTCCATTTCTGTATATCAATTATTCATAAAAGCAATTAAAGCATGGCAAAGCAACACCATTTTAGCCTACATTTCAAATGGAAGCTAGTAATTGTAACATCTAAACCGTTGTATATTTCCTTTCCCAGTTTGAAACATGAATATCAATTACATTGTCATATGCTCATGTATTTTTGTCAAGCTTGTTTAAAAAAAGCATCAGCTGTAATTTAAGATTATTTACTGACTTTGTTACATGATAGAAAGCCTTTGTTTGGGCTTCAGTTTGTGTCACCAAGAGATCAGACATGTACAAAAAGCATTTTTCCTATTTACAAACACACATCCACAAATCTGTTTAAATACATCATCCTATGAATAAAGGACATTGAGAGTGCTTTTTTTGTGTTCACTGGACGGAACAGGCAAATTATGCTAAAGCCTTTTAGTCAACGTAAGTATGTAATGCAAGAACGCAATTAGCCACGTGAAATGGCAAATTCTGCAATGCAATTCTGCAGGACAGCCATTTTGTGTAGCTAATTGCATTATTGCGTTGCATACTTATGTAGGCTATAAATTAGCCTTAACTGTTCTTCCATCCTTGGCTTAGTCAAAGCTTTTGAGATTGAGGACCCAAGCTAGATTGCAAAATATACAACCATATGTTCACAAATGTTTAGAAAACATAATTAACTAACTAATTACAGTATACAAAACATGACAAGGCACTCAATTATCCTTTTTAGACAATTACATAAAAAACTATAGGTCAACAGGTCAACACTACTGTTCCACTTGTACTGTGAGACTTGGCAATGCTGATTCTACAATGCCATTTGTGTGTTTTTATTGATCTGTGCAAGTGTCCTGCACCTCCGCCGCACCTCCGCAGCAAATGGTGGGGAGAGGTGATGGTCAGTGAACCGTCTTATCTTTCCATAGAGAGGTAGTGTCATGTCAGATGAAACACTCCTGGTCAGCTCGTGGTCTTACCTGACCAGGTGATAGGTCAACCAGTACATGAATATGGGCTGGGCGGCTGCGATGGACATGGTCAGGTACATCCTCAGCTGGTTCCTGGCCCCGTGGACCAACACGCCTTGGGCTGCTGCATCAGACAGGAGCTTTAGTCTCAACGTGCGGATCTGAAGAGAGGACCAAGACAGAGGGAGCCTAAATCAAGCTTGTGAACATATGAGCATAGTCAAGGCACTGGCAGGGGACATTGAACGGAGTAAATGATATTCTAAAGTCAGCTATTCCTGCTACTCACCATGAAGACGAAGATGGATATACAGCACCACAGCAGCGTTAGGTAATACCCCGTTCGACCAAATAGTAACCCTGCCCCGACCCCTACAATCATCCTGCACACACAAGGGAATCCTTCACAATTCATCCGAGTAGTTGATGTGCCATTATGTCTTTCAACTTGTAAAAAAAATCAGACGACAACAATGTTGAAAGACAGGAAAATCCAGAACCACAAACCGCAATGTCATACTAATCATGTCAGAGAGAGCGAGAGACCATCCATACCCCACATATTTGTATCCGGAGAAGGCCACAAGGTCGATGGTGGTGAGGTCTGTGTTGACTGTGACCAGGTAGAGACTGAGGAGGACAGCCAGCACCTCCATGATGAGCCACACCAGGGCCGAGCTAGCCTGCATGCCCAGGATCTCAGGGGTAAACCTAGAGACAGAGGGGAGGTTGAGGTTAGGGTAGATACAAGTTTCAGGATACTCTTTATACAGAAAACTGGGACGAAAGGTGCAAAAAAGTGAGTGGAAGTTGGCCACCTTTACCTGTTCTGTGTTCCGAGTGCTAACCCAGCCACCAGGATGTATGTGATAAAACCCATTGCTGCAAAATAATATAAAACAATGTTATACAAAAACAATAACAGGCTAGTTACAGGTCTTATTAGTTTGGTTCAGTCAGGGTGGTAGACTTGACCAAATCTCCTTTACCTGGAATGTACAAGTCAGGAGCGTTGATATCAAAGCGTGGAGCCACTGGGGTGTCCTGTTGGTAGCTCACTTCCCAGTTCTAAACAAAACAAACAAAAACATACATCTTCTTTAGTCCCACAATCAATGAGTGTCATCCTAGGGCATAAGATCAGTATCAGCTTGGTAGCTGAGTCCGACACGGACACAAGCAATACCTACAGATGGTGACCAGATGGTTCCCATAGTAACACAGGGTGACATGTCAGCAGTACCTGGTGCATGTAGGGGAAGACTAGCAGGCCGAGTTTCTTGCCCACGTAAACTGTGTCCACAGCAAAGTAATACTTCAGCTTGGAGATGGGGAGGAAACGATCCAGCTGTAGAGTAAACGAAGCAAAACCAAGACGATTTAGCCCTACTTAAATGGCACTCATGTTGCTACTTACTAACAACTATTTACCATCAGTACCATGAGTCTTACATTTTTGTCTACCAAGTCTTTGCCCTGGCTGGCCAGGCTGCTCCCGTAGGCCATGGCCAAGTTGGACATGGGGTCTGAGAGGAGGGTCTGGCCGGGGTAGCCTATCGCCCCAACACCCTGGCCCGGGAAACCAGCGGGCTGCACCCCCGGCGCTGCACTGGTGTCGTCAAACAGCTGGCTGGGGTCAGTCCCGTCCATTGACGTGTTCCTCATCCTCATTTTGGGATCTGTCACGCAAGAGGAGGATGAAACCACATCCTGGTCAGTGGAGTGGGGGATACAGACTGCAAGTACTGCGTAACACATGCATGCATCGTTAATAGCTGTGATGTTATGTGAAGTTGTAAGGTGACAAACGGCAATCTTCCAAAGCATTTGATGGACAGACAAAATTGAGCTGCAAAAGAAGGAGCTATGCAGTGCACATTGACACATAACAACAAATAGCCTGGCCTAAGCAGACAGTGCCAATAATGGGGTCTCTTCACTCCATGTGTAAGATAAACCCTGCTCTCAGTCATCAATTCTGGGTGTGTTTTATCCCGAGGGCAGAATGGTCACATCATCACGCACTAAGCAGAAGGACACCCTTAAGGCACCCCAGCCTCTTCTTATCAATTTATGCTTTGTCCTTCTTTCACAGACATTCATTGGCCTGCACTGTAGACTAATCTTATTATTAATACTTAACAACGAGATCCCTTGAGATTAGGAACCTCTTTCTCAGAGAGAGATATCTGGCTAGAAGTCAGCCAGGACAAGTAGGCTCTATTTCAAAATGGACCAATGAAACTTCAAACAACAGTCACACTAAGAAACATTTATAGATCTTCACTTGTGGTCTACTGTAGAGCTGGGTCGATAAACCGAAAATTATCGATACTAACCGAACCAAGGACTTATCTCTTATATGAAAGTTAAGTTCCAAAGGCCCCCTGACCATCCGCTCAAGAAAATGTAGATGATGCTGAATCTAGATGATGATCCCTGTACTTAGATAACATTGTATTTCATTTTAATCTGCTCACATCCATGACTATTCACATGTACATATCCATTTTACATGTTTGAAGATGAAATATTGCAAAGCTTTCTGGGGACATTCTTACCACAATTTTGTGAATAATTGAACATCTTTATTTACTGTATCTGGCACACCTGGCTCATGTGGTTGTGTATTCTACATCACTATGAACATTTTTGGTCATATTGCAATTATATTTCATACGGGTATGGTCATGCGAAATTGTCCAATAAGACCTCATTGAGTTGTTTGGCGGTCATATTGGAAAAAGGCTTCTGTGGGGTTAATGTGTGAATTCTATGATGGCCCTGTATCTACAAATCTTTTTAAACCCCTGTTCTAGCTGTGTGTTTGCGCAATTTGGTGCCTCTATCACCAAAGTTACAATCCAAAAACATATCTTTCCCATTACATGGAATTTTATGGCTATGCTTCCAACATTCTAACGTTAATGAGACAATATACAAAATGAGTTGTAGCTGGTGCTTTTAAAGATGGTTATATTGTATATCATTTGAAAGGTAATTTCAAGACCTTTCAGAAGCACGTACCAAACAAAGTTTAAAATGTATCAGGGTTACCTTCTTAAAGCCATTTATACAGGAAATTCTGATATGTACCCTAGATGTCAAAGGTCAAAGTTCTGTTGGCCTGAACATTCCGAAAATGTGTCTGATGGATAGCTGTGAATCTATGCTTTCCAATGATATATGATTAAAGGGTATAAGTGAACAACAACTTGCTGTATACTGACATTGTTTGTCATAGGGTAAAATCCCTATGGGCAAAATGAATGGGCTGGAGTGATGAAAGAGAGTGATAACATACAGAAAGCTATCATTGCTGCACTAGTATCATACATTTTCCAACTCTAGGGACATAGACCTTCAAAGAAAATCACTATGAGACATCGTCGGCCCAAGTGAGCCCAACCGATCCCCCTGGCTCATGGCTACCTTGGATTATTGAGAGATTGGGGGCTCTATCATAGAGCATAGAGTCTATGCCCATTAATCTCCATTGCATCAAACAACTTGCTATACAGTGGGGAAAAAAAGTATTTAGTCAGCCACCAATTGTGCAAGTTCTCCCACTTAAAAAGATGAGAGAGGCCTGTAATTTTCATCATAGGTACACGTCAACTATGACAGACAAAATTAGAAAAAAAAATGCAGAAAATCACATTGTAGGATTTTTAATGAATTTATTTGCAAATTATGGTAGAAAATAAGTATTTGGTCAATAACAAAAGTTTCTCAATACTTTGTTATATACCCTTTGTTGGCAATGACACAGGTCAAACGTTTTCACAAGGTTTTCACACACTGTTGCTGGTATTTTGGCCCATTCCTCCATGCAGATCTCCTCTAGAGCAGTGATGTTTTGGGGCTGTCGCTGGGCAACACGGACTTTCAACTCCCTCCAAAGATTTTCTATGGGGTTGAGATCTGGAGACTGGCTAGGCCACTCCAGGACCTTGAAATGCTTCTTACGAAGCCACTCCTTCGTTGCCCGGGCGGTGTGTTTGGGATCATTGTCATGCTGAAAGACCCAGCCACGTTTCATCTTCAATGCCCTTGCTGATGGAAGGAGGTTTTCACTCAAAATCTCACGATACATGGCCCCATTCATTCTTTCCTTTACACGGATCAGTCGTCCTGGTGATGATGTTTCCACCCCCATGCTTCACAGTAGGTATGGTGTTCTTTGGATGCAACTCAGCATTCTTTGTCCTCCAAACACGACAAGTTGAGTTTTTACCAAAAAGTTATATTTTGGTTTCATCTGACCATATGACATTCTCCCAATCCTCTTCTGGATCATCCAAATGCACTCTAGCAAACTTCAGACGGGCCTGGACATGTACTGGCTTAAGCAGGGGGACACGTCTGGCACTGCAGGATTTGAGTCCCTGGCGGCATAGTGTGTTACTGATGGTAGGCTTTGTTACTTTGGTCCCAGCTCTCTGCAGGTAATTCACTAGGTCCCCCTGTGTGGTTCTGGGATTTTTGCTCACCGTTCTTGTGATCATTTTGACCCCACGGGGTGAGATCTTGTGTGGAGCCCCAGATCGAGGGAGATTATCAGTGGTCTTGTATGTCTTCCATTTCCTAATAATTGCTCCCACAGTTGATTTCTTCAAACCAAGCTGCTTACCTATTGCAGATTCAGTCTTCCCAGTCTGGTGCAGGTCTACAATTTTGTTTCTGGTGTCCTTTGACAGCTCTTTGGTCTTGGCCATAGTGGAGTTTGGAGTGTGACTGTTTGAGGTTGTGGACAGGTGTCTTTTATACTGATAACAAGTTAAAACAGGTGCCATTAATACAGGTAACGAGTGGAGGACAGAGGAGCCTCTTAAAGAAGTTACAGGTCTGTGAGAGCCAGAAATCTTACTTGTTTGTAGGTGACCAAATACTTATTTTCCACCATATTTTTGCAAATGAATTCATTAAAAATCCTACAATGTAATATTCTGGAATTTTTTTTCTCAATTTGTCTGTCATAGTTGACGTGTACCTATGATGAAAATTACAGGCCTCTCTCATCTTTTTAAGTGGGAGAACTTGCACAATTGGTGGCTGACTAAATACTTTTTTTCCCCACTGTATATAGTATTATTGAGCAGAATGAATCGCCAACTCAGTCACTAGTACTACCTAGTCCAGGAAGTCAGCCATCAGGTCCTACAAATCCCAAGTTTAATTGCACAAGATGCTGCCAAATTGGGACACCCAGTAGTAGGCTATTGTTGGGCTTACCACAGCGGTGCCAGTAATTTTAGCAAGTACAGTGCCTTCAGAAAGTATTCCCACCCCTTTACTATTCCCACATTTTGTTGTGTTACAGCCTGAATTAAACATTTATTAAATTGTGATTTTGTGTCACTGATCTACACACAATACCCCATAATGTCAAAGTGAAAATTTGTTTGTAGACATTTTCAGAAATTTATAAAAAAAAAAATGAAATATCTCAATAAGCATTCAACCCCTTTGTTACGGCAAGCCTAAATAAGTTCAGGAGTAAAAAGGTGCTTAACAAATCACATAAGTTGCATGGACTCATTCCCTATTCAATAATAGTGGTTAACATGATTTTTGAATAACTATTCTATCTCTGTACCCAACACATACAATTATCTGTAAGGTTCCTCAATCTAGTAGTGCATTTCAAGCACAGATATAACCACAAAGACCAGGGAGGTTTGTTAATGCCTTGTAAAAAAGAGCGCAGATTGGTAGATGTGTAAAAATAACAAAAGCAGACGCTGAATATCCCTTTGAGCATGGTGAAGTTATTAATTAGGCTTTGGATGATGTATCAATACATCCAGTCACTACAAAGATACAGGCATCCTTTCTAACTCAGTTTCCGGAGAGGAAGGAAACTTCTCAGGGATTTCACCATGAGGCCAATGGTGATTTAAAAATAATATAATAATAATAATAATAATAATAATAATAATAATAATATGCCATTTAGCAGACGCTTTTATCCAAAGCGACTTACAGTCATATGTGCATAAATGTTTACGTATGGGTGGTCCCGGGGATCGAACCCACTACCCTGGCGTTACAAGCGCCATGCTCTACCAATTGAGCTACAGAGGACCACAACAGTTATATGGTTGTGATATGAGAAAACTGAGGATGGACCAACAACATTGTAGTTAGTCCACAATACTATCCTAAATGACAGTATAAAAAGAAGGAAGCCTATACAGAATAAAATATTTAAAAATATGCATCCTGTTTGCAACAGGGCACTTACGTAATACCGCAAAAAACTTTTTTTCCTGAATCCAAAGCGTTATGTTTGGAGCAAATACAACACAACACATCACTGAGTACCACTCTTCATATTTTCAAGCATACTGGTGGATGCATCATGTTATTGGTATGCTTGTCATCGGCAAGGACTAGGGAGTTTTGGGGGATTAAAAGTAACGGAATACAGCTATAAGCACAGGCAAAATCCTAGAGGAAAACCTGGTTCAGTCTGCTTTCCAACAAACACTGGGAGACAAATTCACCTTTCAGCAGGACAATAACCTAAAACACAAGGCCAAATATACTCTGGAGTCGCTTACCAAGAGGACATTGAATGGCCTAGTTATAGTTTTGATTTGAATCGGCTTGAAAATCTACTGCAAGACCTGAAAATGTCTTTCAACTTGACAGAGTTTGAAGAATAAAAAAAAAAGAATAATGGGCAAATATTGTACAATCCAGATGTGAAAAGCTCTTAGAGACTTACCCCAAAAGACTCACAGTTGTTATCACAGCCAAATGTGATTCTACAAAGTATTGACTCAGGGGTGTGAATACTTACGTCAATGAAATATTTCTGTACTTCATTTTCAATAAATTAGAAAAAATGTCTAAAAACCTGTTTTCACTTTGTCATTATGGGGTATTGTGTGTAAATGGGTGGAACAAAAATAATATCTTTAATCCATTTTGAATTCAGTGGAATCAGTATGTAACAAAACAAAACGTGGAACAAATCAAGGGGTGCTAAATTACTCAAATGGAAATTGTAATGTATGAATACTTTCTGTAGCGCGGTCTTGAGGACAAGTTCTGATTGGACACTGGGCAGAGACCAACAAGAACCTAACGTTAGCTAACATAACCAGAGGCACAGTACCATGTCCCAATTTAGAAGCAATGCAATACGGGCAGTACGTAAAGGCTTAAAAACGTAACTAACTCTAAAGAGCGAATAGTGCGACCTTCTAACGTAAACCTGAATAATGTAGCCCGCTGCTGATCAGACATGTTTCAGGTTCTCTGTCTACATGGAATATGAAAAGCTATCTGGTGATGTTATCTAATGTGGCTAACAGCGAGCTAGCTAGCTCAGTCTTGTGCAACATGGTGTTAGCTAGCTAAATTAGCAAGAAGTTAGCTGTTATGATTGATAAAACACCGCATATGACAGAAAACAAGTTAGCTAGCTACATTTGCCAGGTAGTTAGGTTAGCCTTGGTTTGAAGAGCAGCCATGGAGTGGGTTAGCTTGCTAGCTACCTATTAGCATGCCGGTTAGCATACGTTAGCTAGATTTCTAGGTAAAAAAGCAAGACGTCTTACCAATACTTTGATCAACGTACGTAACTTACGCTGTCTGAACCCACTTTGGGTTGCTGTGTAATCCATGTCCATCAATTATTACAGGTAATTTGGGATATCGTCTATAAAAACGGTGACATGAAACAATCTAATATGCTTCCTACAAAATTAGTACACAGCCACACCCATGAGTCAACTGGCCAATGATAGTATCGTAGAAAGAAAAGACGTGGCGTTCCAGGTCAAATGTGGACCAATCGAAATAATCCACTATAATTAATTAATTAATGCATATTTAGATTCCAATCAGGTTCTGATATAGAGTGGGAAAGTGAATCGGTTTATAATGAGCAATGGTGTTCTTGTCTCTTGAGAGTTCATATGCCATCGGAGTTATCGGAAGCTCCTATATGGAGCCAAATACCTGCCAAAAGGTTGAACATACATATTGTTAGGATCATAAAAAATCCATACATAAATTGTTATGATCCTAAGAAAAGCCATGTGTGAGACATGAAACGTAAACGTGACATTTCATCTGTGAACATACAAGCATATGTTATGATTAAGGACCAACATTATAGGCTACAATAATACCTTTCAGAGTTTCTTGAGTTTCATCTCACCAACAAAAAAACGTACACCAAACGGCCTGTGATGAGTGCTACGCAAACAAGCATAACACAGTATAAAAAAAAACCCAGAAGTAATGTAGACCATAATGAGGTATCCTGCACGTTTTCAAGTTAAAAGTCTCCATTCTCTATTACTCCTCAGTTTAGTTTACTTCACATTTAGGTAGGTAATGTAATGGATTTGTTTGCCAGCGCAAGTCTAGATAGCACCAGCTGTATTATGCCTACAACAGTGAAGTTTCAGTCCGCTAGGTGTATCTCTACAGCATGGGCATATCTCTGGGTGACGTGGACATCCCCATGCATGCACCTTATCAAAATATGACTAATTCAATATTGCACCATCCCATTCTCTGGGGTCTGTCTGCAATTATAACCAGTAGTATCTACCAGGAATAATGAAACAGAATAATAAAAGATGTTTGGTGAATCTATGAATAATGCATGACCACTGGAGTCTTTGCCACTCAAAATATGTTTTTTTCATCACTCAAAATCTAGCCGAAGCATATTCTGTAGGAGGGGTTAATGTGAATTAAAAATAATTGTACATGATTTATATGAATTGGGTCATGAACATATGGACTTTGAAATGAACAAGGGAGAGGTTAAAAATAGGCTAAGTCTGGCATAAGCTTATTCCCACACTTTACAATAACTCTGTTGCAGTGGTCTTAGATAGTCTCCGTATAGGCTATTCCCTTCATCGCGACACTGCTGCCCAGTTGAAGAGCTTGTGATCTCCATGCAGCACCACATCACCATGCGGCTTCAGAAAATGTCCTTCTGGAGGCATGCAGCCATAGAGTCATTATACCCTAATTTAGGCATTTTTGCCTACTAGCCAAATAAAGTGCAGAGCGTGCATGATGCGTACAACTCATCATTCCAACATATTTGTACATTTAATTCATCCTTCATTCAGTTCAGTCAGTCAGTATGTCATCCATTCAGTCATTTGTCTGAGTTGCAAAAGGATCTAAATCAAAGAGAATACAACAGTCTTATCCATTTGTTTATTGAAATCTAAAATATCCAAAGTTTTTAGCCTATCACTTTAATAATTCAATGTTTAATTTAGGCCTATCCAAATAAAAATCGGCCTTCAACTTGTAGGCATTGCAATTTAGGCTATCATTTTGGGTACTGGTGTCTTGCGGAATAATTTTAGAACTCTATTTGTGTTTTATAACTGTTTTTATTATAGGGCTCCCCTTAAAGAGAGACCATAGCTCACAGGCCTCTAAAAATAGCCTCTAAATACATTTTTAACAAAATAGTTGATGAAGCACATGTAGTAGCTGAAAGGGAAAACAGATCTTGCAATAATAATAGCCTATCTGGCAGAGTTACTCCACATCAAGAATTCCATTTGGCGAAAGGCTCGGCACACGCATACTCAGGCTGACTGGCTCTCATTCAAGCAAATGAGAAATAAGTGCACTTCCCAGCCCTTCTAATGCAACTAGCCCTGATGCTCATCCCTCTTTTTCCCCTGCCCCGCTACAAAGTTTCTCCCTGCAGATGGTCACTGAGTCTGAGGTGCTAAAGGAGCTCCTTAAACTTGACCCTAAAAAAATAGCTGGGTCAGATGGTTTAGATCCTTTCTTCTTTAAGGTTGCAGCCTCTATCATCACCGAGCCTATCTCTGACCTTTTTAACCTGTCTCTCCTCTCTGGGGAGGTTCCCATTGCTTGGAAGGCAGCCACGGTGCATCCTTTATTTAAAGGGGGAGATTAAGCTGATCCTAACTGTTATAGGCCAATTTCTATTATGCCCTGTTTATCAAAAGTCTTGGAAAAACTTGTCAATAATCAACTGACTGGCTTTCTTGATGTCTATACTATTCTCTCTGGTATGCAATCTGGTTTCCGCTCAGGTTATGGATGTGTCACTGCAACCTTAAAGGTCCAAAATGATGTTACCATTGCCCTTGATTCTAAGCAATGTTGTGCTGCTATTTTTATTGACTTGGCCAAAAACTTTTGATACGGTAGACCATTCCATTCTTGTGGGCCGGCTAAGGAGTATTGGTGTCTCTGGGGGGTCTTCGGCCTGGTTTGCTAACTACCTCTCTCAAAGAGTGCAGTGTATAAAGTCAGAACATCTGCTGTATCAGCCACTGCCTGTCACCAAGGGAGTACCCCAAGGCTCGATCCTAGGCCCCATGCTCTTCTCAATTTACATCAACAACATACAGTGAGGGAAAAAAGTATTTGATCCCCTGCTGATTTTGTACGTTTGCCCACTGACAAAGAAATGATCAGTCTATAATTTTAATGGTAGGTTTATTTGAACACTGAGAGACAGAATAACAACAAAAACATCCAGAAAAACGCATGTCAAAAATTTTATAAATTGATTTGCATTTTAATGAGGGAAATAAGTATTTGACCCCCTCTCAATCAGAAAGATTTCTGGCTCCCAGGTGTCTTTTATACAGGTAACGAGCTGAGATTAGGAGCACACTCTTAAAGGGAGTGCTCCTAATCTCAGTTTGTTACTTGTATAAAAGACACCTGTCCACAGAAGCAATCAATCAATCAGATTCCAAACTCTCCACCATGGCCAAGACCAAAGAGCTCTCCAGGGATGTCAGGGACAAGATTGTAGACCTACACAAGGCTGGAATGGGTTACAAGACCATAAACCTGTTCAAATAAACCTACCATTAAAATTATAGACTGATCATGTCTTTGTCAGTGGGCAAACGTACAAAATCAGCAGGGGATCAAATACTTTTTTCCCTTACTGTATATATACAATATATTTTCCTTCATTACTTTCCAACCCCACCACCCCTCCCCTAATTGGAGTAAACTAGTGACAACAACGCCTAGGCCTCTACTTCCAGCATGTACATATACCATATACATTTTATGGACACAGTCAATTTTACAGTAATTCTATGTTGTTTGTTTTTACTCCTGAACTTCATCTACCATCAACCTCTCTGATCGTTTTCATGATGTCCATCCGGTTTGCTTCTATATGCCATATCTTTCAAACTGTGCTCTTCACAAACGTTCTCAACCTATAACCTATATACTTATTATGGACACAGTATGTTTTACATTAGTTATGTTGTTGTTATTAGTTGTTATTAGTCCCAATCTTCAGCTCCATTCAGCCCCTCCCATCTATCTCTTTACACCATCCATATTGGATTTCTATTTGCCATATATTTTTCTACTATACTGTGATGTTTCACAAAAGTTCTGAACCCTTCTATTCTCATTGTTTCGACAGATTGAAAATAATTATTATATTATTGATCGATTGACTATGACTTTTCAGATCACCCAGTAGTGCTATCTGCAGGGTTAGCTCCAGGTAAATATTGCAATCCTTCATTCATTCCTAGACCTGTGACCAAAAACAAGCTACAAATGGACAGTACCAAAACAAATGATCTAATGATTCTGTCTCTTCGCAGCAAAAACTGCAGAGCTGGGAAGATTGTATCCCCCATATAAATAACATTCTATTCGTAGCAATAATTTTGTATAATAATTTAAATTGAAACATTCTAAGTTTTGAATTCGGCGTCGTTTTGCATATCAGTTCATGGAATCGGTACGTCAAAAATCTCTTCCCAACTATTTTGCAATCTATATGGGACGGCTGTCAATCTTTTGGTCCTGAAATTAAACTGGTAAACTTTTTTATGTATCACAATTTTCTTTAACTAATTATGTTATTTAATGCAGGGCCGACAGACAAGTTCCTTACTTTTTCCCCCTTCCACTTTCCTCTTCCATTTTTGCGGTAATGCTGCAATTATTTGGTTGTAATTTTGGGTAGAGCAGACATTTCCATATGTTTTTGTTTAGCTGCATGTGCGACATAACTCCAACATTCCTACCGATAATATCATTTACGAATATTCTACCTTTAAAAAAAAATTTGATTTTTTAAAAGTTTAACCACAATATTTGTTGCAATATTTGTTCTGTCATTTCTGGAGGATTAAATTGAAATTGCAACCAACTTTCTATGGCTTGTTTTAGAAATAGTGATATTTGGGAGATTATTTCCTTTTCAAATACCTGAAAGTGAGGGGTTGTAATCTGAATAAAGGGAAAAAGTCCCTTCTTGAACATTGGGTGAGACAATCTTACTAATTTGCTAGAGAACCAGTTTGAGTTTAAGTATACTTTTTGTATGACTGAAGATTTTAGTGATAGGTCTAATGCTTTAATATTTAATAATATCTGTCCTCCTAATTCATATTCATTATATAAATAGGCCCGTTTAATTTTGTCTGGCTTGCTGTTCCAAATAAAATGGAATATTTTTTTCTAATATAATTTAAAAAACTGTTTGCTAGGCGTAGGCAAGACCATAAGCAAATAGGTAAACTGGGATAATACTAAAGAGTTCATCAGTGTGATTTTTCCACAAATTGACAGGTATTTACCTTTCCATGGTAGCAAGATCTTATCTATTTTTGCTAACTTTCTATTACATTTTTTTGGAGTGAGATCATTTATTTCATTTGGGATATGTATTCCGAGTATATCCACATCACCATCAGACCATTTTATTGGTAAACTACATGGTAATGTAAAA